TAATTACATAATTTTAAAAATTCAAAAATAATGGATATGAGGGAGGTTTTATGGGATAGTGTAAAGAATATGAAAAACTATGAGATAGAACATCTGAGTTATAAACAGTGATGAACATGTTCCCTAACTTGTCCCTCATTTTAGCAGTATTAATTGTTAGTATTACTTGTTACTTGTTAGTATTAATTATAGTATGTTATATATACTATAATTATAGAATACTCATTTTAGTAGTTAATATTACTTATGTTAGTAGTAGTATTAATTATAGTAATTATATAATTTTAAAAATTCGAAATTAATGGATATGAGGGAGGTATTATGGGATAGTGTAAAGAATATGAAAAACTATGAGATAGACCATCTGAGTTATAAACAGTGATGAGAATGTTCCCCATCTTGTCCCTCATTTCAGCAGTGTCTGCAGAAGAACACCTCATCCCAGATCACATCCTTCACTTGGGGTTGCCTCAGTCTTCTCATCCCCCAAATAGCTTGTCCACTTGCTTGGACATCTCTTGATCACTTCTACCTTCTACTTTCTTCTGCCTCCTCTTAGACTGTAAGGCATAGTGTTGTCATCCAACCCTGTGGTACTACTCACCCGTGTTGGTGTATGAGAATTGTCTCTTGCCTTTTCCACATCATTTGGTGTAATGAAAGGTGGTGGACCCTTCTTTTCATTGTCCTTATTTCAAGTCTGTGTTTACTTTTTTCAGCCTTTTCTATTTTTTTCCAATGCTATTCATCCAACCCTACTTTGACTTTCCAGCATTCTCATTCTCTCTCTCTCTCTCTCTCTCTGTCTCTCTCTCTCTGTCTCTCTGTCTCTCTGTCTCGCTCACAAGAATTTACAGTGTCTCCATCTTGGATAATAAAATCCTAGATTCAGAACTGGGAAGGGACCTTTAAAAGGCAGAATGCAGTGCAGGGGAAAGATTGCCAGATTGTTGGTGAGAGAACCTAGGTTCAAATCCTCCCTCCGATGCAATCTGCTTGGCCATAGGCAAGTCACTTACTTCTCTGGTCTCGTTTTCCTCATCTGTAAAACAAAGAGGTTAGACTAGATGACCCTGGAGATTGAGCCTCAGATCTTAATCAGTTACATGAGGGGGTTAGAGTAGATGCCCTTTAAAGTCTCTTCCAGTTTTAAATTGATCATCCTATCATCTGATGACCTTAGAGGTCCAACTACTGCATTTTCTGTTTTACAAATGAGGAAGCTAAAGACCAGAGAGGTTATTTGACTATCCTAACCCCTGTCCCTATTGGATGCTGGTGATTTCTGTTTTACCTAGCGATGCTGGTGTTATTGGAACCGTGGCTTTCTCTGCATGTCCGCTTTCCTACCTCACTGACGTGATTTCTTACTCCGCACCTAACTGAAGAAAGAGATTTTTGCCCATCAGTGTTCCTCTTCATTACTCTTTGGTATGACTATTATTTAATTGATAATTCTACTTGGTGCCAGTTTCTGTGGAAGACAGATTATAGGATCACTGCAGCACTATTGCTGAAAAGGACCTCAGAGGGCATCTTGTCTAACCCTTTCATTTTTCAGATGAGAGAAAGCATCTGAGCAGACACTGACCAGTCCTTTGCACTTGACTCACTAAGTTTATGCCTAACATAGAATTTAGGAGAGAAGTAAGGAGGAAAAGTGAAGTAATTTGGTCCCCCGAACTAGGCAGCTTCCTAGGATGAGGAGATTTTGGTAGTAAAGGAGTTATTTTAGTCACTTTCTGGGTGATGAATCCCAAGTGCTAATAACGATGTCCCCATGACAGATTGTGATGGGCTCCCCAGGGAGGTTAGGCACGGCAAAAATGATTTGCAGACTATGGCTGGGTTTGAGAATTAGCTGAAATGGCAGACAGAAGCATAGGAGAAATCAGGCCTTTGTCCATAAGATGCCAAGCACATCCAAGTGTCTTAGCGGTGTAATGCCATACACACAGCAACATATTTAAAAGTGTTTCTGTTTTTGACTGATTTTTTTTCATGGTCATCCACGTCTTTGGGGACGTTGTTGTGGGAAGTACAAACTATTATAGCCCCAAAGGTTGAGTTCCCTGTTTTTTGGTTCAGAGATGCTTGGAGAATGACAAAAGTGTGTTTCTGCAGTGGAAGCAGGCATTTGTTTCTTTTGCTGTCCAGGGAAACCATTCTTAGGAGACGGGAGGTGTTGATAAGCTTTAAGCCGCTGAGACTCCATATTTACTTTGCAATATATTTCTCAAAAATTTCAATTTACTGTCTGTAATGGAAAGGATGGAGCCAAATAAAAAAGCCCAACTGCATATCATCACAGTTCTCCCCAGGTTGCTGGTGGTATCTCAGTGGATTAGTGAATTTTCTCCGTGGTAACAGTGTTATTAATTTCTTACTCTCATGGGAAAAATCCATTAATTGTAGGTTGAAGTTAAAATTTCTTTTTGGGTTTCCAATTAGACCCACAGTGATAACCAGGTCGATGTGCCATATAGTCATGCAATCTGCTCATTATTTTATTTTTTGGCAGTGAGGAGCTATGCAACAGTCAAAGAAATGCAGAAACACCTGCAGGTTGCTAACCAGAAGCTTTCTTTTGCTAGTTGAGAATGATTTTGCAAAGAAACAAACAAAAAATATGATTGTTTCTTTAAAAATATATAGTTTTTAAAAAGAATAAAGCAAAAGGGTATCAGCATAATATGCCTGTAATTTCTTGATGTTACTGCTTCACTGTGTAATATGGAGCATGGTCTAGTCTCTTGTCAGTGTAGATGCCTTAGGAAATGTTACTACTGACATATCCTTCCCCATTCTTACTGTCCTGTTGAGTATTTGCTCTTCTCCTGAACTTTTCTTTATACCCTTATAAATTCTTCATCCCTTCTTCCCAGGTTAGCCCAAATAAATGTGTGTTTTATCTAAAAAATGAACAGAAGTTGCCTGATTAAATTCCCCTAAAGCATACCTATACTGGAAAATACTGGGCATGATCAATGCCAGGTGCTGGAAAAGTCTGATTGCCATTTTACCACTTAGCTAATTTAGAACATTTTGTTGCCTTCCAACTATGAAGCCAGGATGTTGTTTCATTTTCTAAATTTGGCCTGGGAGTTTTGCATTTTCATCTCATGGCTGGTATAATTCCACTGTGCTTGAGTTTTGTCTACAAAACTTTCTCTCTCTCGATGCTTAGATGTTGGTAGGTATCTGTCGCAAAACACACACTTTTTAGGTGTGTGACCCTGGGCAAGTCACTTAATCCAGTTTGCCCCAGTTCCTCATCTGTAAAAATGGGCTGGAGAAAGATGTGGCAAACTACTTCAGTATTCTCACCAAGAAAACCCCAGATGGGGTCACGAAGAGTCAGACATGACTGAAACAACTTGATGATATTAAAAAAAAAAAAACAATTCTCTTCCCAAGGCACTTACTAATGTCATATTAACCAAAAGATAATTAAGATCCTTGATTTAGTGTTGGAAGAGAGCTCGGGGATCATCTAGGCCAGCTCCCTCATTTAGCAAGTTGCCTGAGGTCAAAGGTAGTGAAATGGCAGAGCTAGCATTTGAACCCAGATCTTCTGATATGAAAATTAGGGTTCTTTCTGTTAAACCACACTGCCTCCTCAGGGTTATCTACTCTGCTCATTTTAGACAACAAAGATTTTTTGGGGAGCATCAGGCACCCTAAGCTACTTTGTGACTATCTTAGCTGAAATAGGAAGATAGCGTTTCAATTGATTCTGTAGATAATGAGAAGGAATTACTTGGTTTTTTATTGTTTCCCTGACTGGGGAGCTGCTCTTGCCCCTCAGTTGGTTTAAGATTCTTAGACTCTACTTTGTCAATTACTTAATTGGTTAATTTATACATTTTGAAGTAAGAATAAACAATTTTTTATTTCATAAGGAATTGTAGGAACAGTTTGAAAATAAATGATAAGGGAATGTCATAACTTTAATTACCACAGTTCAGTATTCTTAATCACCTGGTTCAGTATATTTCAGCTGACCCCATTTTACCACATACATCCCCCCCCCCCAACCAAGTTTTCCTGCCAGGTAAGTCTTTGTGAATTTGACTGGGTGGGTTGTTGACAAGTGGCAAACTCTCCTTGCCACCAAACGTCTCCCCTCCTGTGATAGCCGTTTCTGCCGTTCTGCCAAACGCTCTGAGTGTGTACCCTGATATTGATCAATATTTGTTTGTGATAATACGTGTGAGGGTTCGAATGCATTTAACTGTTGTGGGATCTGTTATGTCTGCTTCAGGGTCGACCCTATCCCATACGACACTCCAAAACCAGCGGGCCACACACGGTTTGTCTGCGTCTCAGACACACACTCCAGAACAGATGGTATCCAGATGCCTTATGGGGACATCCTTCTCCACACAGGCGATTTCACCGAGCTGGGACTGCCCTCAGAGGTTAAGAAGTTTAATGACTGGTTAGGTAAGGAATTATTACGTTCTGGTGACCCCAATTAACCTTTCCCATCTAAGTGTCACTCACTGTGTCCTAATTGAATTAGAGCCCTTGGAAAGCAGCTCATCCACTTCTCTATGATATGTAGTGGTGTCTAGCTTGGATCTAATGCTCCTAATTAAAGATGAATTTTTAGATATTTAACTGTCTGATGTATCATGTGCTGATGGGGCTTCCGTGCCTGTGGGACAAAGGGAAGGAAAGGTTTGTTTCCCATTTTATTGTACCCATGCTTTTTGAATGAATGCTCGATGGCACATGGAAGATATTTTTTTATTGATTGTTTGGGAATGGATTGTCTCTGCACGTGTTCTCAGAGCAAAACAAAATAAAAATGTGTAAATGAACTATGAGAGAGAGAACATTTCTAAGAAATGCAAATGGTGTCAAACTTGATAAATGGTACAGAGCCAAGTGCCAGTGCGAGCAGAGCAGCAGGACGGTGGCTTATGCCAAGGGTTAGGTTTTTTTCTTTTTCTTTTCTTTTTTTCCCTGAGAGTGCCTGTGGAGACCCAGAGTAGAGTAGATTTGTGAAGAAGCTCGGCTAGAATTTACCATTCACCTCCTGAGTGACTGAAGTTTGAGGAAACCCACCATAGTGTTTGATAAATTAATAGAAGTCACAAAAGTGTCACCAAAGACCAATAGAAAAGGGTTACAAAAGGCAGTGGATTCTCTATTAGCCCTTTGCCCAACATTGATATCATGAGAAAATTACAGGGTCATTTACATCCAGAACTAGTGAAATAATAACAGTCTCTGACTTCAAGGAGCTTATAATCTAGTAAGAGAGAAAGAATAGGGACACAAATAACCATAATACAAATTAGAGTATGATGAATACATAAGAAGCAATAGCAATAATAATAATAATAATAATAATAATAACTGATACTTCTATAGAGCTTTTTAAAAGTTTGTAAGCCCCTTTACTGTACTTTGTCACTTGAGCCTCATACCAGCCCTGCACAGTAACTACAGTTATTATGCCTTTTTTTTACAGATAAGGAAATAGAAGGCCAGAGATGTGAGGTGACTTTCCCAGAGGCACAGACCTAGTAGCAGAGATGGTTTTCAAAACTAGGTCTTCTCCAGTCTGAGGCCAGCTTTCTGATATGGCTAAAGAAAGAGAGAATTCATCCTTTAGAGATTCTTCAAAACATTTTAGTCCATTAGTGGGGTTGGCCTCACACAGTGAATATTGTCACAGTGAAGTGTCTACTGATAATTGTGCAAAAATTTAGTGCTTAAACTCAGTTTTTGCTTAGATTATCCAGATAATCTTGCTGGGATATGCAGGTATCCATGCCTCCCCCCAAGGTGGTTAGCTGATTTTATATACATGCACACACACACACACACACATACATAAACACATAGGTCAGAAGGGCAGTGTGTCATAATTGTTAGCGAGCTGTCAGAAAGATCCAGGATTAAGTCCCACCTTAGACACATAGTGACTCCCATAAATGTCATTCAACCTAGCTGCTCTGGCATCTTGTTAAGATTGTAAGGGATAGATCATCTGACAATTGGGATTTCCTTGTACTAATAAAATCAGAATTTTTATCAAATGTGCACCCCTCCCAGTCTCATCTCTATCTTTATTTCTCTCTACCTCTGATACAGGCACATATACATATACACATATGTATACACACATATACATACACATATATGTATACCCATATAAACAAACACATACATATTTATTTATACACATGTATGCATGTGTGCATACACACATATATACACATACACATATGTATATATGATGTACCTCCATTCATGGAATTATATAATTGTAGAACTGGAAAGAACTTTATAAATCAGCATAAATTTTTACCCACATTTTTACAGTGACTTTACTGAGGTCACACAATTATAGATGGGGGCAGAGCCAAGATTAGACTTATGGACTCATAGAGCTGGGAAGGACCTTAAAATCATCTAATCCAAGATACCAGTTTTATAGATGAGGAAATCTAGGTCCAGAGGAACTTGGCTAAGATCACACAGGAAGTCAGTGACATTTTAACCCAAGCCTTCTGACCCTTTTCTGCTCAGCTATTGGTCAGCACCCTGTGACGAAAGCATACCTTGATAAATGTCATTGCGTGTTCAAAGGTACTAATCTCCCCCCAAAAAAAAAAAGAGCGAGATTTAGGCAGTAGAACCAACACACGGAAATAGGAAAAAGGATTTGCTCTAAAGCGTGAAGCATTTATTAAACCCCTACTGTGTGCACAGCAGTGTGCTGGGTGCCAGGAATGCAAAGAAAAGAAAGAAACAATGGCTGCCTTCAATGAGGTTGTGTTTCTATTAGGATTTGTCATTTTAACTCAGTCACAGACTCTGGGCTCTTTCTGTAACCTTTTTTTTTTCCCCCTCCCTGGTTATCTTCTTGCTGAATTAAGTTTTCATAATTACTTGTCTCTCTTAATTGTTATGCAGAATAATGAGGAAATGATTGGTAATTGTACATGTTTGCAGTTCCTTAATAACAGAATAGGACACAGGGAAAATGTGAGTAGCAATAATAGAGACTAACACTTATTTCTCACATTAAGCTTTGGAAAGCAGCTGAGTGGCTCAGTAGAGAGAGAAATGGACCGAGAGGCAGAAGAGCCTGAGTTCCAATCCAGCCTCAAACAGTGCAAGTCCCAGAGAGTAGCTGGAAAGAGGTAGAGTAGTTAGAGAACTAAACTCAGAATCAGAAAAACCTGGGTTCAAGGACCACCTCAACCGCATATTAGCTTTGTGACTGGGCAAGTTGCTTAACCCTCCCAAGCCTCAGTTTAATCATCTGTCCAATGGGGGTAATGACAGCACCTACCCAGAAGGTTATTGTGAGGACCTAATGAGATAATGTGTATAAAGCACTTTGCAGTTCTTGTGGTGCTACATAAATTATTGTTGTTGTTATTTTTATGTTTAGAGATATTATTATTGTCGTGGTTTCGGGCAGCTAGGTGGTGCAGTAGATAGAGTGCTAGATCTGGAGTCTGGAGGGCCTGAGTTCAAATCCAGCATCAGGCACTTGTTAGCTGTGTGACCCTAGGCAAGTCACTTTACCCTGTTTGCCTCAGTTTCTTCCTCTGTAAAATGAGCTGGAGAAGGAAATGGCAAATGACTTTAGTATCTCTACTAAGAGAACCCCAGTTGGGGTTGCTGAGAGTCAGATACGATCGAAAACAATTGAACAACAACAACAAATTGTTGTTATTGTTATAGGTGGAGGTATTATTGTCGAGTTTAGAAACTGAGAACATGTACTGTGCTATCCCTCTTTAGTTCAGGGAAATTACCTCCTCCCATTGAAAAACAAACAGATAAACAAGGCTTGGTTGTGCTCTACGTAGCAGCTTATTCTCATCAAGCTCTTGACTCATAGTATCATAGCTCTTGAGGTGGGGGGGCCCTGGGGGACCATCTAGGCCCACCCGTCATTTTGTAAATAAATATGTATGAATAAATAAAGGTTAAGGCCTTGCCCAAAGTCTCTCAGGTAGTAAACATCCAAGGGAGAATTTGAACTAAGGACTTCTCCCTCCAGAGTCAGAATATTCGTCCATCAGACCTACAGCTCATTGGTTTTAGCATATACTTGGCTGAGTCTATGCTAAACCAGAGGCTGAGATGTGCTCAAAATATCCTTTCCTAGGGACTGAGATCCCATGCAAATACCCCCTTGGCTGGTATTGTGTGGGATCCTAGGTAGCTGAATGACTTGTAATTTCCATGTTATACCTACTGGATCCAGGGCCAGCCTTTTGTATAAGCAAGTGAGCTGTAGAGTTTGCCGTGAGGCCACTGAGAGACCTACCTGCCCATCCGTTTCTACCCACCTGCCTCTAAGTCTGAATTCCCATCCTGACTCACTCTTATGACTTAAAGCATTGCAGGCCCCTGGTGATAGAGTATAACAGTAAGCTCCCTCCTCCAAATTCTTTTATCAGATTAGTTGGCAGAAAGCAGCATTGCCTGTTTTCATTAGTCTGATAAATGAAGGGGACACAGGACAGACACAGTCGGGGGACCTGGACTGCTAATACAAATGTCAAATGTATGTAGCATTTTAAAGTTTGCATGCTTTTGATTTTGCAAATGAGATGATACAAGAATTCTTATCCCCATTTTCTAGATGTGGAAACTGAGGTGAAAGGGAGTTGAAACACCCCATCAGAAGGGGCTGGGGTTTGAATTCAGTCAGGCCTTTCGCTTCCAAGTCTGGTATGGTTCTGTACCCAGGTGACCTAGCCACAAGGTTGCATAGGGACTCTGAGGGAGAGAGAGAGAGAGAGAGAGAGAGAGAGAGAGAGAGTATCTCCTACTGATTAGTTATAGCCTTGCCCTTGTGATCCTTTCTGGTAGGACAAGACTGTAGATAAAACTGTGTCATAACATATTCCATGTTTTTGGTATTAAGAAATTCCTTGGGATGGCTCAGAAATGAACCTTTCTTATATTGAATTCTGCAGGGCAATATATTTGGGTCGATTCTTGGGGAAAAATATTAGGATGATGAAAAAAAATCTTAGAATGTGCATCTTTTCCATTATGATGAATGGGTTCGTTACAGTGGTAGCTGCCTATGGTTTTTTGCCATACTATCATTTCATTCAGTTAAATAATCCTTTAAATATGGCATTAGGCAGATCAGTTAACCTTTCTGGACCTCTGTTTCCTTATCTATAAAATGAAGGGGTCGGCCTAGATGACATCTAAGGGGTCCCTTCCAGCCCTAATGCTATGATGTAGGATATCAAAACTCAGAGAGCTTAAGGGGCATACCTAGAGTTGCACTGCCTCCAAGTCCAGCATTCTTCCCAATGTAACACTTTGTTGTGGTTCAGTCGTTAATTTGCCACGTCCTTCTCCAGCTCGTTTTACAGATGAGGAAACTGAGGTAAACAGGGTGCAGTGACTTGAGCAAGATCACACAGCTAAGAAGTGTCTGAGGCCGG